GACACTAATCAAGGAGAGAAGCAACGTGGAATTAAGAGAAACTTCCTAACTATGAGAACAATAAACCAGTGGAACAGCTTGCCTTCAGAAGTTGTAGGTGCTTCATCACTGGAGGTTTCTAAGAAAAGACTGGACAGCCACTTGTCTGAAATGGTATAAAGTCTCCTTCTTGAGCAGGAGTTGGACTAGAAGACTTCTAAGGTCCCTTCCAACTCTATTCTTACTTTCATATATTCTGAATATAAAAAAAGGAAAAAATAAGCAGATGACTTACCTGTTCATTCTTCGTAAGCCTAGTTTTATTATGAATATCCGAAGTAACTAAATTGAACCCATGCCTCTCGGACAGAATTCTTAACAGCAAAACCACAGTCCGGCTCCCACATTTTCCAACTCTGTTGTATACCACCTGGCTTGGGAATGGAAGGACCTAAGCAGAAAAGATTTAAAAAAATGTTATTTGGAAATATTTAATTGTCAAAAATGTTTTTGTTTTGACTTGAGACTGAAATTTTGAAAATGAGTAGTTCAAGGTGCAAAGAAATCCAAAAGTTTGAAATATTAAAAAAGCAGAAAATATTTATTATTTCCCATTGTAGAATAATACTCTTGGATTATTATATCAAAGATAGGAATTATCCTGCGGCATCATAATACTAGCAAAAGTATTCTGAAGAAAGGCTCTAGTGCACAGATTATTTATGTCACAATTGTTTAATAATAGATTGCTATCATACTCTTAAATTCTTTTCTCCTTCAGTGTGCTAAAGATAAAATTAAATTTCCATTACTTAGTCTGATTGCACTTTTCAATTAACGGAGGACTTTTATCTGCATATTCCCTCTTTGTAATTTAAGACAGAACATTGAATACATATTTATGTTTTATTTCTTGTAAATCTAAGGTATAAAAATGTCACAAACCATTCAGGATTATAGCCCTTTCTAGGAAATTATCCAAAGAACAAGAATGAATAATCCTTGGTGAGACAGAATACTAATTATGTCTTGACTATGATGAATTGGTGAACTAATATTAATCCAAGAACCTCAAATAGTAAACACATGCATTTCTTATTTGGACGACTGTATTAAGTAATGACTTGTTGAATAAGGTTTCATATCTGTTTACATATCTTCAAGTATAAACATTATAATGGATTCATACACATATTCAGCTCTCAATGACTAAACATTAACCACAAATATACATAAATAGGTTAAACTTAATAAAGCTAGACAGGTATTGTTTGAAGTAATCTTCTGTGCTTATTCAGTAAACCAGTAAATATATTTCTATATTTGCATTTCACTTTAAAATCAAATTAAGGCAGTTTCTACCAAGCAAACAGAACAAAATAACAGTGTTGGAAGGGACTTTTGAAGTAGTCTAGTCCAACCCCTTGCTCAGGCAGGAAACCCTACACCATTTCAGATAAATGGTTGTCCAATCTCTTCTTAAAAACTTCCAGTGTTGCAGCATTCACAACTTCTGGAGGCAAGTTGTTCCACTGATTAATTGTTCTGTCAGGAAATTTCTCCTTAGTTCCTAGTTGATTCTCTCTTCAATTAGTTTCCATCCATTGCTTCTTGTCCTGCTCTCAGGTGCTCTGGAGAATAGGTAACCCTCCTCTTTGTGGCAGGCCCTGAGATATTGGAACATTGCTATCAGGTCACACCTCGTCCTTCTTTTCATTAAACTAGACATACCCAATTCCAACATTCTTTATGTTTTAGACTCCAGTCCCCTAATGTTTTAGACTCCAGTCCCCTAATCATATTTGTTGCTTTTCTCTGCACTTTTTCTAGATTCTCAACATCTTTTTTACAATGTGGCAACCAAAACTGGATGCAGTATTCTAAGTGAGATCTTACCAAGGCATTATAAAGTGGTTTTAATACTTCACACATTAACTTATCCATGCATTAACACTTTTCTCTCTCTGTTAATGCACGGTTAAGTTAATAAGGTCTTTTTTCACAGAAAGCTGGAAAATCATAGCTTTCATTTACTATTCAATTTATTTGTTAATATGAGTTATTTCAGCTCAATTTTGTTCACTGCTTGAGACTAAAGGTCACATGGCTATATCTTTGAGAGTAGTAACAGAAAATATTTATTCATGGATATTACTTATTTTAAAATGCTCTGGTGGTAAGCAAGGTAATTGTTGATTTATTTCAGGTAATTGTTGATTTATGATCACAATAAAACCTGGAATTTTAGTCGTGTGATGTTGTGATCATAAGTTGAGGAACCATGTGACTGGGACTCAATTTTACAACTGTTTTTAGAACAATCGTAAAGTGAATTACAATGGTCACTATGCAAATCTATTCTTCCAAGTTGACATTTTTTGCCAGAAAATAGCAAAAACTTGCAAAAAAACATGGCAGTCTGTGGTCACATAACCATGGAACACTGCAGCTAGACATAAATACAAGCTGGTTACCAAGTCCCTGAAATGCAATCATATGTCTTTGGAAAGGGGGGAGCAATTGTAACTTTGAGGTTGAGTTGTAAGTAAGTTTTTTTGAACTCTGTCATAACTTTGAATAGTCATAAAACAACTAGTCATAAGCTGAGATCTACCTGTACTATAAATATTGGTTCTGGCAAAATAGAAAAAATTCTGCGAAATTGTGAATGGTATTTGACCTAGAAGTGTTACATACAGCCTGAAAGACAAAAATGCATGGATAATGAAATCAGACCATGAATCTAATCTGGTTTTGTTGGATATTTTCCATTCTGGCAATGTTAAGTTCCTGAATGCAGTTTATGGAATTTCTTCAACCCAGAGGTTCAACATATCCATTCATATCAATATCAAAGTCTCCACCTGGTTTTGAAATGATGCCAACTGGTGGGTGCCAGTTGGGAAGGAAATTCCATTAATGAAATGCCACCTCAGAAAAAAAAAATCTACCCCTTAAAGATGTCCACCTCAGTTTTGATGAAAGGACCTGGAGAAAGGCTTTATTTTAAAATCCAGGTAAGGCGCATGAGAAAGTGCTCCTTCAGGTAACCTTGCCCTAAGCTGCTTAGGGATTTAAAAAAACCCTGAACTTTGAATTAGTCTGGAAATGAATGGCAGTCAGTATAATGGCAATGGACTGGCATAATATATTCATAATGGCCAGTCCTATTAAGCTGCTATTTTTTGAACTTTCCAAATCTTTTTCAAAGGAGCCCCATTCACAATGCATTACAATAATCTAGCTGAATGCATTAAGATTACTACCATGTTAAGATAAATAAGGATGAGTAGTTTTTAATATGAATGTAACTATTAACATTATAGTAACAGATGTATATTAAATATGTATATGCGCATAAGATATATGTACCCAGACGACACACTGTTGAATTGAAAAATGGATATGTTGCAAAATAATTTTAAATTTTAATTTTAAAAAAATCTAGCTGAGATGATATGAGAGAGTAATTGTAAGGCTAACTATTGTAATGCTGCCTGTCCAGTGGTGAGATTCAATTTTTTTTACTACCTGTTCTGTGGGCGTGGTTGGTGGGTGTGGCAGGGGAAGGATACTGTAAAATCTTCAGTCAGAGGTGGTATTTGCTGATTCTCTGAACTACTCAAAATTTCCCCTACCGGTTGTCCAGAACTAGTCAGAACTTGCTGAATATCACCTCTGTGTCTATCTCTATCCAAGTAAGATCACAGTAAGTTAGCAATGCCTTGATAAAAGGCATTATGTGCCAATGAAGCCACCTGGACTTCTATTAACAGTGGTGATCCAGGAGCATCTTCAAAGTGCAAATCGGCTCCTCAGAGAAAGTGAGGGTCTCTACAGGACAGGTAGAGCAACACTCAGCTGTCCAGATCCATCACTCTTGAAAAATATCCCAATCTTGTCTGGATTGTTGTAGACTTATTTTCTGTACAAGAGGGGGAGAATCTTTATTTTCTTATTGCACCATCTCACCTGGTTGAAATGCTTTTGCACGTTTTAAGTTAAAGCGTTCTCAAGTTTTAAAAATAAACGGTATGAACTTTCAAGAAATGAACTGTGAAGTTTAAATACTGCTCCATTAATCAGAGGTGCTATTCAACCAGTTCGCACCTATTCAGGCGAACCGGTAGCGGTTATTTGGCATGGGTCACCGAACCGGTGACCATGCCCCCAACCCAGTCGCCCGGTCACTCACTTGCGATCGCTCTCCTAGCTTTCCGTCCCCCATGTTCTCTTTCTCCCTGGGGAAATGGAAGAAAGGCATGGACGCTGCAAGTATCACTTTCCCCGTGTGAGTTAAAGTGTCGGGAGTGAGAAAGAGTGCGGTCTGACAGAGGGGGTGGGCGTGAATCGAGCCTTGGAGCACTTTTGCAACGTAAAAGAAATGCATTTTGGAAGCAGGTCTTTTAAAAACTTCTCCAAGGATTCCCCATGGATGCTGCAAGTATCGCTTTCCCCTTGTGAGTTAAAGTACTGGAGTGAAAAGGAGTGCGATCTGACAGAGGGGGGGTGGGGGAATCCACTCAAGCCTTGGAGAAATTTAAAGGAGCTGCTTCCAAAATGCGTGTCTGTTAAGTGCTGTGTGTGTGTGTGTGTGTGTGTGTGTGTGTGTGTATGAGAGAGAAAGAAAAAGGAAAGAAAGAAAGATGGTAGAGAAAGAAAGAAAAAAAATAGGAAGAGAGAGAGAGATAAAACTCTGCTATTATTTTTAATTGTTCCATTATTTATCATGTGTTAATATTTTACACTGTCCCTACACCTAGAGTGATTTTTCTGCCTTTCTTTTGCCCAGGGCTACCACATATTTTTCAGGGTTTACATGCATTCAATGTCAATAGTCCAGAGCATAAAATACACAAGTGTTTAACAAGAATTGAAAGGGACCTTGGAGGTCTTCTAGTCCAACCCCCAGCTCAGGCAAGAAAACTGAGGATGCCAAACTCTGAGTAGAAATCCTGGGAAAGGTGTCAGAATAATACTTAGAAGGGACCTTGGGGTTAACCCTATACCATTTCAGAGAAATGGCTGTCCAGTCTTTTCTCAAAAACTTCCAGTGATTGAGCACCCAGAACTTCTGGAGACAGGCAGTTCCACTGGTGAATTGTTCTCACTGTCAGGAAGTTTCTCCTTAGTTTTAGGTTGCTTCTCTCTTTGTTCAGTTTCCATCCATTGCTTCTTGTTTGCATTCTGCCTCTTTGGTAAATACATTGTCCCCCTTTCTTTGTGGCAGCCCCTTAAAAGCCTGTTGCCTATATCACACTCTTGGGCAAAGCGTGTGAGCCATTTCCTCCTTTCAGTGGTCCATGAAAGTACATCTATAGTATGCAGATAATAAAGTTAAAAAAGGTGAACATTTTTACAGAACTATAGATAAGTTGAGACTGGGTGACAAGGAATGGAGGGGAGGGGCCAGGTGGGGCACCACTTGATGTGAGTGACATTGAGTTGGTC